TGCGTGGGTCGTGCTGAGCGCAAAAGGAAAGGGCAAGGGCGCCGCTGTGACGATCAAGGCGTTGGAGAAGTGGAGCAAGGCTAACCTTAGCAAGTACAAGCACCTGCGCGGTGGTATTGGCATTGTTGATGAAGTCAGTCCGATCTGGTTTAGCGGCCCCGTCTGCTTCCTGGCTAACCACGGTGTATTAGATCCCCAAGTCCCCCACTGGCAAGGTCCTCCGGCGTATACTGCAAGAGCAGTATGAGAAAGCGGTTGTTGCAGCACAGCAAGAGAATGTTCGGGCCAAGCTTTGAGCCTTGCTTTCCTTGAGACGATAAAACTGCAAATATCATAGTACACGCATATAACGAACTGTATATACCATATCAACCTTCTGTACATCTATCATCAACCCTTTTGTTTTCATCACCTTGGACTTGTGATACCTATGTGATACAGATACACTGGCTCAGTCTGGGCGCCTAGAGTGGGACGGGCGGGATCGAGCCTCGATTTGGAAGTCGATTAGTGATGGCGGCGTACGCTGCCAAATAACGGTGCCAAGACTCTGGTTGATTCCTAGTTTCCGACCAACACGGACTGTTCGATCTGTCCTACCATCACCATATGTTCTCCTTCTTTGTGGTTAAAGCTTGTGGATGGGCTAGGCTTCTCATACTGCCGCTCGAATCTCCTGGATTTTCAACATTCGCCGTCCTTCACCGGAAATGTATCGTCAAACGCTGTGTCTTGTTACTGGGCTCCATTGCACTGTGATGGTTCCGTTTCCGGCAGGAAAAGTGGAAGGTCTAACCACTAGACTAGGGCAGCAACAACTGTAGAAACTCTACGGTGCTCTGGAATGCTGGCTGCCGACACCTGGTACTGGCTTTGGATGTAAACTCTTCTTCAAGGGCGTCACCAACTGTATAAAGCGATGCGGCTCTCCGTCTTGGTCTGACCTGCCGATTTCGACCAACCCCATACCGACGGGGTGTGTTTGACGCCGCATATTTAAACAAGATAGTCTTTGATCGCCTACATCCTCAGGCGCGCTTCTAGCCCCTGATTCTCCGTTCAAGCCATCCGATCCTCTCTGTCAACTCCACGAAATGTCAGCTCTAAACCTCGTTTCATTGAAGGAGCCGATAGCTCCTTGACATGAATCCCTGGAATTCATCACTATCCACCGTCCACGCTACCTAGATTGCTATCCAAAATGGAGTCGTCGAACGGGTGCACGAATATGGCGAAATACTGCCCTGCTTGGGGTGGGGCTATATAAACTTCTTGTTGGATGAAAACATTCCAGGATCTTGGGCTCGCAGTGTTTCCTGTTTCCGCCACTCTTCATTTAACTCTGCCCACATCCGCGCCATCGTCTCGTGGCTTCTCGTCTCTGAATACCATATCCTGCACCCAACACCTCTTGTTTTTGAGACGACCCATCGAAATATCTTCCCACCAAGGCCCGTGATTACTCAAAGTACGTGCCTAGAATCAACAAATACCCTCGGCCTAACCCTCTCGTCGAATTCCCTGTCCTTCTCAAATTTCCGCACGCTCTCTCACTCTTGCCCCGTATTCCTTCGTCTTCTTTGTCGTTCTTGGTTCAGCTACGGCACTCTAACATGCCGTCGACCCCGCTCTTTTCAAACAAAACTAAAACATCTGTCGTTATTGCAACGTCTGTCTTCTTGCTATGCTGGGCCGCTGCTCCCGTAAAGGGCCATGTCGGCGTGTGGGCACCAGGCATGTACTGTGGTAAGGGAAATCAGGAGGGTGTGGATGATAACAACTCGAACACTATTTCCCAACCGATGCACAACGTAAGTCTCGCTGCTGAGTTCTGTCGTCATGAGTACCCTGACCCTGCTCCCTTGTAGTTGACCAGAAGTGACTGGTGGTTCCATCATCACGACAGCGTACGTCTCTACTCTCCTCGTTCAGCATGTCTCCGTTTTGATGGAATCTTCCTTGGTAGTGCGACCAATTTCCTCCTCCCGTCGGAGAGTTCCTTGAGATGTACGTGGACCTCTCGGTTAATTTTATAGCCTGATTGACTGACGATCCCTTGCAGACCATCTGGTGGTGAACTCACAGTCGAGCTTGCTGTGAACAGAGCCTTTACCACACGCTCCGCGCATCCTGAACTCGGAGAGTTCACCAATGGAAAAAACCAAATGGGTCCTGACGGTATCTCAGACGAGGGCTGTATCTGGGAACCCAACAGTACGTGCCCTGGTTTCATGCATTGACTAATCAACTTGACGCTACTATTAGTTCATACGAAGTCTGAACTCGAAGCTGCCGGAACGGCATTTGCGATTTCGTATGTTGACTCGCTATCGCGTGTTACGCCGGAGAACCTTGTGGTGTTCAGCGTTCTCTACCAGTACGTCCCCCCTCGAATTCTCACTGCGTATTAAATCGCCAATACCCAACACTTTCAGCACCCCCTGGCGCCGTCTTGCCACCTACTCTGTGCCCAAGCTGCCTAAATGCCCAACCGGTGGGTGTATCTGCGCTGTAAGTTCTCCCGTTTTCTATGATGCGATGTTAGCAAGCTCATCACACACGAGTACAGTGGGGATGGGTGCCGAACGGTTGCGGCACAGACGACTTTTACATGCAGGGGTTCAGATGCCAGGTGACGGATCCTGTCAAGTCTGCAAAGGTCATGGTGGCCAAGGCAAAGCCGCCTGTGTGGTGCGAGGATGACCTGACAAAGTGCGCCAAGGGGTCTAAGCAGGTGCGTCTTCCTTCTCTGCGTTCACTGGTAGGATCATGAGCTAAATTCGTGCGTGTAGTTACTTTACTGGGGCCAGCAGGATGGAAACAATGTCGCGGTTGAAGGCCAGGATCTTGATGGAAACGCGAAGCGCCCGGGCTATAATTTTAAGATGGGCTTCGCACCTGGTGAGTGCAACTTGAGTTCCGTGAACAGGATGTACTTTGACATACTTGAAAAACTGCTGTAGGAGCGCAAAACGACATCTTTGTTGGGAGTGTACTATGAGATAGACCCCATGTCGTTCTTGCGTTCTTCCCCGACTGTTGTTGTTTCCCGGCCAATGAGTTCGAAGGCGAGAATATACCCAAAATACCCAAACCCGAACTTTTAGTGGGTTAACAGTACCACGTTGTAGAGACGTTGGTGGATACGGACTCTATTTCTTTCCCTTCTCTTGTTCCTTTACATAAATTTAACTGGGCGTCGGCAATGATAGTCTAAAACTTAATCAAGTGTATATCTAGAAGGCCGTCGAACTGTGTACTTGTGTGTGTGTAAATTACAAAGTGTAGACTGATTATAGTATCGCAATCTGCGACTGAGAATAAAAAAACGAAATCGGTAGCGTATCCAGCAAGCCTATGGTCCGTTCAGAAGGATGTGAAATGAGACCCAAGCCCGAATTAAATCACGAAAGGAATAACAGCCTTTCTGTTCTTCGGGTATCTCTCACCAAAGTGCTCTTTGTACCACAAATGGCCTTTGTACGCTCTAGGGAACATAACGGCGACCTCGGCGATGAGGAAGATCCATGGCGCGTACAGCGTCGGTGCGAACCCTCTCGTAGGGCCAGCAATATTGTATTTTAAGGTCTCCCAATCGAAAAGGGACGTGACTGCCTGGAAGAGTGAGCTGAAAAACTCGCTTGAGGAGGAGAAGGAGAGTTCGATAGGTGGAGGGGCTGATGCAAGGGCAAAGCCGAACCATTCCACCCACTCGCAAAAGTAGTTGGGGAAGGAGATGTAGGTGTACAAGAGCCCCTGAGGGATTCCGTAGTACTCCTTGCTGCCTTCGTACGCGGGTTTGCTTGGAGCTTGAATCTTGGTCTGTTTCTTCTCTGCCTCTTCCTTTTCCTCCCCTCCACGTTGTTTGCGCTGGATGGCTTTGCGGCGAATGTCGAGCAGGATTTCGTCGTGAATAACGTTTCCAGCGAATCCAGCGAAAAATAGGGTGATGCCTATCCAGAAACTGGGCCTGGAATAGACGTAGGTGTCGCCTAGGTAGATTCGTGCAAGTGGTGAGCTGAAGTATGTGCCCATTAAATAGCCGTTTGAAATGTTGAACATGACGGCGACCAGTGTGATCACTACATGTTGTTTACTTCGTGAAGGCGTCCGTAGAGGGCTGATGAATGCTCTGTTCAGATAGTGAAGCATGAAGCACATTGCTAGCAACATCTGGGGGCTGGTCCAATCCGGTGTTGGGGGCGTGTAGAACGTGAGGGGTGAGATGAGAAAGGCGTAGATGAACGTCAAGGGCGACACTGTCTCCATAAATATCCAGGACTTGATCCCGTCGACGTGGAGAAACTTCCAGTTGAAGAATCCAATTGGCGATGCGGAGACCATGAACCGACCAAAAGGGGCGTTTACGACGAACAGAATGGGGAGGAGAACGAGCGGGATGAGCACGAGCCATTTGCGGAATCCATTGTAGAGATCCAGCGGCCAGTTCGCTGTGTTCAGCTGCGTTGGGTCCCTTGCCATCGTTGGAGTCAGTGAAAGAACGACGGCGACGATGATGGTCTTGACGTCGCGCCTGGGTCCGTGCGCGTGCGAATTCTGTTATTTCAACAGGCAATAACAATAACAGGCCCACAGAGTTCCAGAGAACGCACGAGCTTGACAGACTCGATGAGAAGAAAAATACAGCGCAACCAGTGGCTGATTGAACAAGCGCAGGTAAAGGGCAAATAATAGCAAAAATACTGGACGCACAGGGGATTGAACCCTGGACCTTATACAAGTAACTTTTCTACAAGAGCAGAAAGTGTGCAAAGCATACGCGCTACCACTGCGCTATGCGCCCATGAGATTCACTCTTCAGCGGACACTCCTGGCCGCCCCGCACAGGTGAACCTCTGTACTCATGCCGAACTATGTGTGAGGATAGTACAATTGAGGAACTGCGCAACGTCATGGGGGGCAAAGGTTGGTTCGGTACTGGGCCGACTGTGAAGGTCTGGCCGCTCGGCCAGGGGTGCAAGGGAAGGCCTGGAATTCATGGGCGCATAGCGCAGTGGTAGCGCGTATGCTTTGCACACTTTCTGCTCTTGTAGAAAAGTTACTTGTATAAGGTCCAGGGTTCAATCCCCTGTGCGTCCAGTATTTTTGCTATTATTTGCCCTTTGCCCGCAATCTCTCATATCAGCCACTGGTTACGCTGTATTCTTCTCTACCCTTTCTGAATCTTTCCCTGCATTTCGTTTTCTGTTTTTGACGCGTGACGTCACAAGCAGGTGACCGTTGGAGCCACGGCAAGCTGTCTTGCAGGTTGAACAATTACCACCACGCGCCGAACATGGGTATCAAGGGTCTCACAGGTTTGCTCAATGAGCATGCTCCCAACTCTATCAAGGAACACGAAATCAAGACCCTCTTTGGACGGAAAGTCGCCATCGATGCCTCTATGTCCATTTACCAGTTTCTCATCGCGGTTCGCCAGCGCGACGGAGAGATGATGATGAACGAGGCGGGAGAAACGACCAGCCACCTTCTAGGCTTGTTCCATAGGACAATTCGTATAGTCGAAAATGGCATCAAGCCTGCCTATGTGTTCGATGGCAAACCACCAGATCTGAAAAAGGGTGTGGTGAGTGGTTGTCGCGTTTCATTTATGAGCCCTGTTGGTCTGATTCGTGGCACGCGCGACTAGCTCTCAAAACGTTATGAGAGGCGAGAAGAGGCAAAGGAGGAAGGCGAAGAGGCAAAAGAAGTTGGAACCACCGAAGACGTGGACAGGTATTCGCGCCGAACGGTCAAGGTTACAAGACAACACAATGAAGAATGCCAGAAATTGCTCAGGCTTATGGGTATCCCGTGTATCGTCGTGCGTATCATTGCTGCTCGTGCTCGCGTAATCTCATAGTCGCTCGACACCTAGGCTCCTTCAGAAGCAGAAGCTCAATGTGCAGAGCTCGCTCGAGGTGGCAAGGTGTGTAGAACAGTCTAGATAGTAAAGCACCGACTGAGTGACCCAACCGCCAGGTCTATGCCGCAGGCTCCGAGGATATGGACACCCTGACCTTCCACGCACCCATTCTATTCCGACATTTGACCTTCTCTGAGGCCAAGAAGCAGCCTATTAGCGAAATTAATCTTGAGCTTGCTCTCAAGGGCTTGGACATGGATATGAGCCAGGTGCGGATTTCCCAATTGAACCAAGAGGTACATTAAACGAACACCACGCAGTTTATAGACCTCTGTATTCTCCTTGGATGCGACTACCTTGAACCTATCAAGGGTGTCGGGCCTAAATCTGCTCTGAAGCTTATCCGCGAGTTTGGTGGTTTGAAGGGGGTTGTGAAGCATCTGCACGAAAAGTATGTGGTACTTGCGACTGTGCATAAGTGCAGTGCTGACCAAACTCTAGAACTGCGGCCAAAAAAGCAGAAGTAGAGTCCGAAGAGGAAATTGAACCCGAGGAACCCGCTCCAACTTCCGACGTTGAAATGCCAGACATGGGAGAAGATGAGTATAAGGATAACAGGGATGATGATGAAGACGAGGAGGAGAAAGAGCCACCCAAGAAGAAGAACGCTGTGCAAGACAAGGGCAAATCAAAGAAACCTGGTAAAGGTAAAGGCAGAGGCAAAGGCGGCATCCAGATCCCAGACGAATGGCCATGGGAAGAGGCAAAGAAGCTGTTCGAAAAGCCTGATGTCCTACCAGCCGAGGAGGTTGAGGTATGCCGTCGAGCTTCGTTTTCCGTATGTCGTCTTTAACCCCACCTTATTTTAGCTGGAATGGAAGAACCCCGATGTTGACGGCCTGGTACAGTTCCTGGTAGCTGAAAAAGGCTTCAAGTGGGCGCTGGTTCTTTTGATACTTATCACACTGTCTAACAACCCTGATAGTGAAGATCGTGTGCGCAAGGGTGCAGAGAAGTTGCAAAAACATCTGCATACAAAACAACAAGGGCGACTTGATGGATTCTTTACCGTGAAACCCAAAGTGGCTGCACCGCCAGCGAAGGGCAAGGCGGCAGCAAAGACTGGGACGAAAAGAAAGGTCCGTGCGCTTTCGATTGCATTGAAGGGTCATCTCACGAAATTTTAGGGAAATGACAAGGCCGAAGGATCTGCAGGAAAAAGGTCAAAAAAGAAGTGAATTGTCCAAGTTGGCCGCGTTGCTTAGCTATCCTGCTGTACGTTTCGCGTATTTTATTGTAGTCTGACCTTATTCTTGTCCTACGACCGTACTCCGTATACTGGCGTATACTATGCTTGATTTTATATCCAGGTTCCTGCTCCGCGCCCCAGGAATGAAGAGGTTTTCACGACTTCTTGATCAATACTTCGCGGGGCTGGTACCGGTGCATCGAAAAAGTTCAAGACGCGATTCCCCCCTTATCAAAGTGGACAGCAAGGCAGCGATACGATCATTCAAGGTCGTTCGTCACTCCATCGGCAAGTGCACAATACCCAGTGAACCAAGGTCTAACTCTGCGCTATGATCAGCCGCATCAAGGTTTCTGCCGTGTTCATCTCATCGACTTGGCTTACTTATGCAGATACCCCTAACTCGAGACATTGGGGTACGATAAGTTGGCCGCCAGGAGAGCTCGGCATCACGCTGGGCATGCGGAAGAGGTCCCTATTTCTAGGGGCTGACTCTGACTGACTTGAGGCCGACTTGCAGGAGCTTTTAACGCAGTTCAAGCAGAAAAAGTGGGATACCAATGTCATTTTGTCACGGTGGCGCTGCTTGGCAGCTGGGAGTTGGACTGTCGAAGTATTGGGGCGGGTGAACAGAACAGGTAGTCAGTACTCATTTCAACACTTCAGGTCGGCCTTCGCTTTCCGAGCTCAATATCTGAAATACTTTCATAGAGACCGCAACTTACGAATCCGCTGGTGACCATCTATCCGATCGCATTTCGATCCGCCGCGCGTGGGTTGCGCCCTTGTTTCCCACGGAGATCGCCACAACATTTGCTGCAAAACCGATCGTCGTCTGCAACAATCTGTCGCTTTTTGCAGCTTGTCTTCGACAGGAGGAATAAAGCACCTCCACGACAATCAAGGTCATAAATTTAGAAACCAATGCCATCAAGCACAACCCCCGATTCTCTTAATTCAGTGCTTCTTTCCCGGGTTTCAATTTGCGTTCAAGGTTACCCTATTGTTACCGCCTGGAACCTGACACATGGCGATGACAACCAAACGCGGCAAATTCCACAAGTCCGGATACCCATTTGGTATGCAAAAGATCCATTCGCAGAACCCTGCAGAACCTCCGATTGGAACTTAAAATCGCTTGTGGGAGGCTGGTGTAGGGACTGGGTACATAAAGCACTCCGGGGCCCATTCGTATAATGATGCCGCGCCTTTAACTACTCGTGCCCAGTGCGCCCACTCTTGCTGCAAATCCGCCCCTCGTTCGCTCGGAGAACCTCCAGCCATGGTTACTCCTCAACTCCTAGGCCTTACATACCATTCGACGTTGGGCGCAGCGTCGGTTGGGTTCAGTATCTCATGCGCGGTCTTCGGGATGCTCACTACCCAGGTGATCATCTACTACCAGAGGTACTTTGAGGACACAAATGGTTACAAAATATTGGTGCGTTGTGGTTTCTCGTTGAACATTGACCTTATCTGATCTTTCCTTACCTCAAGGTCGGTTTATTATGGTGCGCTCGCGTCAATGCATCAGGTTTCACATCGTAATTCTAACGCCGGACGATGATTAGGAGTCTCGAGTTAATGGACCAGATATTTATCGGCTATGCCGTATATTATTATTCAATTACGTGCGTGGCCACTGTTCAGCATTGGGTTTAGTGATATTGACAGACGATTGACGGCCAGTCATTATGGGGATCCTTCGGTTCTGTTGAACGAGGATATTGTTTGGTACGTCGCGTTTCTCCCCGTATTTGTCGCGACAATTTTCATTTCCTTCCCTTAGGCCCTTGCTCGTTCGTGCCTTTTGCTTGACGGATCAGTATTACGACTAATTGTTGAGTTATTGGTGCAACAGGCGCAGGTTATTGTAGGGGTGAGTCATGAAGGAGCATTCTCTGAACGTATGGCCTGACTCCCGGCTAGAATGTTGTGGGCGGTATCGTTAAATGGTCAGTTTCTCCCGCACATGGCGTTTCACCATGTACTGATATTGTCTGTAAACAGTTGTTTTGCTCTGAGAGTATGGCGATGTACGTCTCTTGAAGTGTTCTGGATCGTGAGCTAGTACCAATTAGGCCTTGTCCAACAGTCAGCCATCGCAACTATCTTATTGCAGTCCCAATTGTGAGCCCGACCGTTCAATTATTCCTGCTTTTCTGACGACTGGCCATCTACAGTTCTTCCTCATTCTGGCGCAGTCGGGTCTCGCAGTCGGTGAGTAACATTAACAACGAATTTGCCCTGGTTCTGATCGTCCTGTAGTATACTGTGTACGAGGGTATGATGCTTACACCTCTTCTACATGATAGCGTCCCTAACCAGTAATCTCTACTAGTTTCCAGCTCAACAAGTTGATCTATGCGAATCAACTACGAGTGAGTATGGCCAAATAACCTTTCAGAATAAGACTGACTTTACCTTCTCCAGGTAATCGCCAGTGTGTCTCTCGCTGCTGGAATGGTTACAGACGTTGCCATCGCCGTTGCACTATGTGTGCTGTTGCGGAAGCTTCGAACCGGGTTCAAAAAGTAAAAACCTTTCTTCTACGTCCACTCGCAAAACTCAACTCGGTTCTTCCAGGTCTGACACTCTCATTACTACGCTCACTGTCTATGCAATTAACACTGGCGCCTTGACTGGGTAAGGAAATTTTTGTTGTTGGTGGAACCGGACACTTATGACGGCCTTACAGCGCCGTGGCTCTTGTCACTCTCATTATGGTAAGGCTTTCTTGAAACCAACCAAGGCAAAATCTGATGCTCTCTTTAGTACAACATTTCTCCGAACGCTTTCTACTTCATGTCCACGTATTTTACCCTTGGAAAGCGTGAGTGTATTCCGCAGTTTCTCCGAGCATGACGCCAACCGATTCCCTAGTATATGCCATCTCGCTCCTATGTACGCTAAACACCCGGCGCTCCATCAGAGGAAAGGGTACAGACCAGCAAGACCCACCGTCGGTCAATACCTCCGCTGCCC